TTTAAAAATAAAGATTAGTTGAGCACAAACTGATGTACTGCACTTGGTGCAAACTCTTTTTGACCGAAAAGTAAAGTAAACGTTAAATTTAAGAWATAAAGCTAATTTGTTCAGGTTCCGTATCTATTTCAATCATTTTGGACCATTTAAATATCTCATGTTGCGTTTGTTGTTTTTTCTACACACAGGGATCAATACTCAGATCCAGTTTGAGGAACATAAATCTGCAAACAGATCCAAGTATCCGTAACATGAGAGCCGAGAGAAAACCTTCAATTATGCAGTCTCAATATCCCCGTTTAGGGAGGATGGATCAATTTCTCTCGTGGAACCATTAACCCCTTAGGCTGGCCGGCGTTACCACGGCAACACTGATGAGAGCGGCACCTGTTATTCACGGTCTCGTAAGCGTGCAGATAACATGGGAACACATGCAAACCGGTCCATGATTAGGACATTAGAGCAGACTGAGTAGCATGTACTTCTGTCGGATAATCATTATCACACACACACACGCCCACACACACACGCCAGCTTTACGCTCATATTATTATTATTATTATTATTATTATTATTATTATTATTAATAATAGATTCTGCTGTATGGAAGCATTGTTATGCACCTGATTAAAGTGTCTCAGTCAGGGCAGGGTTCTTCCTGCACTGCAGCCTGAGGGGAGGGGTGTGTTGTGTCATTATGACAGCTGKATGCCAGCCTTTTCTGTTTTCCTTCATCTGTTTCTGTTTCATATTAGATCCCTTTTTCCTCTCTTTTCTTCTGATTTGTCTCCTGTACGTCTTCATTACATCTACTGATTTCTGTCTCTTTCCTCTCTTGGCTGCAGTCCCCGTCCTCCTCCCCCTCCCCCAACTCTCTCTGTCTCTCACCCCCACCGTCCAAATTGGCCCTSCGGTCAGGACACAAGATGGTCAGTGCTGTGTGTGTTTCTTATTGCATCACTGYGTTTCTGTTTCCGTGATGACCGTCTAAGCAGAGACTCAGAAATATGTTTTAAGAAGTCATACGTGCAAAGGTTTTATTTCTTTAGGAAGGGGCGTGTTCAGGTTTTTTTTGGATATTAACTTGGTCATATTTATAGACACTGAACAAAACATTGATGTTTTAGCAGCTTAATGTCATCCTCAACACTCATGAGTGAAATCTCACGACATCATTTCGAAGGTATAAACTGAACAGAATCAGAATTGCCTTTATTGTCATTATAATTTACATTACGATGAAAGTGGATTTGCTGCTCCAAGGTAGTGTTTTGTAGACGAGATAAAGCAAAATAAAAAATAGACAATAAAATAAAATAGACAAGTTAAATATAATAAGACAAAATGTACACTATACTAAAAAAATAAAAATGAAGAATAAGGAAATTTTTTACAAAATATACTTATTAGTTATTTGAAAATATTGCACATGAGATATACAGTGGTTTGCAAAAGTATTCATACCCCTTGAACTTTTCCATATTTTGTCACATTACAACCACAAACATAAAYATATTTCACTGGAATTTAATGTGAAAGACCAACACAAAGTGGTATACAATTGTGAAGTGGAAGCAAAATTTTACATGAATCAAAACATTTTTTACAAATAAAAAACTGAAAAGTGCGACGTGCAAAAGTATTCAGCCCCCTTTTCCCTGAGTGCAACCAATTGCATTCAGAAGTTGCCTGATGACTGCTAATGACTCAAAAGGGTCCACCTGTGTGTAATCTAATCTCAGTACAAATACAGCTGCTCCGTGACGGCCTCAGATGTTGGTTAAGAGAATATTGGGGAGCAAACAGCATCATGAAGTCCAAAGAACACACCAGACAGGTTAGGAATATGGTTTTGGAGAAGTTTAAAGCAGGCTTAGGTTATAAAAAGATTTCGCAAGCTTTGAACATCTCACGGAGCACTGTTCAATCCATCATCCGGAAATGGAAAGAGTATGGCACCACAGTAAACCTGCCAAGACAAGGCCGTCCACCTAAACTTACAGGCCGAACAAGGAGATCACTGATCAGAGAGGCAGCCAAGAGGCCCATGGTGACTCTGGATGAAATGCAGAGAGCCACAGCTCAGGTGGGGGAAACTGTCCACAGGACAACAATTAGTCGTGCACTACACAAATGTGGTCTTTATGGAAGAGTGGCAAGGAGAAAGCCATTGTTAAAAGAAAACCATAAGAAGTCCCGTTTGCAGTTTGCCAGAAGCCATGTTGAGGACACAGCAAACATGTGGAAGAAGGTGCTTTGGTCAGACGAGACCAAAATTGAACTTTTTGGCCACAATGCAAAACGCTATGTGTGGTGGAGAAAGAACACTGCACATCACTCTGAAAACACCATCCCCACTGTCAAATATGGTGGTGGCAGCATCATGCTCTGGGGGTGCTTCTCTTCAGCAGGGACCGGGAAGTTGGTCAAAGTTGATGGGAAGATGGATGGAGCCAAATACAGGGCAATCTTGGAAGAAAACCTGTTGGAGTCAGCAAAAGATTTGAGACTGGGGCGGAGGTTCACCTTCCAGCAGGACAACGACCCTAAACATAAAGCCAAAGCTACAATGGAGTGGTTTAAAAAAAAGAATATTCATGTGTTAGAATGGCCCAGTCAAAGTCCAGACCTAAACCCAATTGAGAATTTGTGGCAAGATCTCAAAACTGCTGTTCACAAACGCTCTCCATCCAATCTGACTGAGCTTGAGCTGTTTTGCTAGGAGGAATGGGCAAGAATTGCAGTCACTAGATGTGCAAAGCTGGTGGAGACATACCCTAAAAGACTTGCAGCTGTAATTGCAGCAAAAGGTGGCTCCACAAAGTATTGACTCAGGGGGGCTGAATAATTTTGCACATCGCACTTTTCAGTTTTTTATTTGTAAAAAATGTTTTGATTCATGTAAAATTTTGCTTCCACTTCACAATTGTATACCACTTTGTGTTGGTCTTTCACATTAAATTCCAGTGAAATATATTTATGTTTGTGGTTGTAATKTGACAAAATATGGAAAAGTTCAAGGGGTATGAATACTTTTGCAAACCACTGTATTTTGCACATTGATATTGCACATGGAGTTGAAATTAAATGTTTTGTTTGCCATTATTTTCTATTGTTCAGTGTCGTGATGGCTCTTGGGAAAAAGCTGTCCCTGAGCCWATTTGTCCGGGCTAAGGCTCCAGGATGATATGCATTTCTTTAATGCCTTTAAAGTACCTTTGACATGCCTATCCTTCAAATACAAAAAGTCAAATAAAACATCTTTATACTTAAGAAAATTAGCATAATACAGATTATTTTACCCATTTTGTCACATAACTTGCTTATTTTCTTTTGAATTTGGCTCAGCCAAAGTGAAACAGGAAGTGACATCAAAGGAGAACTCATTATTAAAATAAACTCTGGGTTTTGTTTATTAAAACAAAATTAGTTAAACTTTAACTCTTCTTTGTCTCTCTTTGATAGCGACTCAAAATAATCGAAAGAAACAGATTCTTCTCTACAGTCTGTGTTGTTAGCTGTTGTAACAACGCTCTGTTTATATGCAGACATTCTCCTTTGACATCACTTCCTGTTTCTTCACATGCAAATATCTCAACAATCGTTCATCTCAGCAACGTTAAATTTGTTTTGCAGTATGTTATCAATGTTATCTTTCCAAAAAGGCATTCATGTTTATTACAAAAAATTCATGTCACAGGCCCTTTAATGTTCAGGATGTTTTGCCTGCTTCAACACGCCTGTTTTAAATTGATGACCTATATTTAGATCTTGACGGTGAGCCAATTAGGTCATTAATTCCTGTAAATCAGGTTTGTTGGCACAAGAAACCTGTAAAATATAGCTAGTGTGATTAGTGTCACCGGAAATTTATACACAAACCAAATGTTTCTGATGTCACCTCAGTTCAACATGTTCACCTTCTGGAAAAAAATTTTTTATGAATTATTTTGACTTATTCTGGCGATGACTTTAAAAAGACTTCCTGCTCGTGTCGGCCTGAATGCGGAAAGCCGCAGGAAAAGTTCCGGCAGCGAAAGTAAAAGCACAGAGCAGAAACGAAACTACAACCTAATCCACAAGTTGCTTTAAAACATCTCCACACGTTATTTTTCTTCTTCTTCTTCTTCTTCTCTTAGACACCATAAATAGAGCTGATGGGTAGAAGGAAAATGTTTCCATGGTGACACAGCCTTGTGGCAGCTGGTAATTATTCTGGTTTTAGTGCCAGCAGACACACACAGACACATATATGAGCAGACACACACAGACGTATATATGAGCAGACACACACAGACACATACAGTATATGAGCAGACACACACAGACACATATATGAGCATCAAACAGAGTGACATCTGGATGAACTCAGAACGTGTTCGTTGTTTTGTCACCGAAGCCCTGGCAACAACTGGACCTCATGTAGATTCGGTTCTGCAGGATCGGTTCTCAAAAAATAAAGCCATCGACTAATACTTTACTTTAAAAACAAAAATACTGTTTAAAACTTCATTTTCACCAGTTTAAAGGGTCAGCGTTGAAGCTATCACCATTTCTTTAAGTTTGATATGCTGAAACGTGGTCTAAATGTTTATCCAATAACTTCATTCTGAGTTTTATTCAAATYCGTCCACAGGCTCAGGAGATATTTTGCAAACAGACAGACATGCTGCCTTTGTTATCCACCTTTCAGGGTTTTACGGCGTTACGTTCGAGCAGTGAGGTCCCTCGGCGGTCATCCTCTCRCTTACACGGGTCGGCTGATCGATAATGTGGACTTTATTTCTGCCCCATGTGTAAAACTCACTGTATCGTCTAAATATGRCTGAAGATGTGTGCGAGAGCTAAGGAGGTTGTTGTTCATTCGATATTGGAATCAAAAGCACTTAGAATTCCCTTATTGCTGCCTCACTGATGCACGTTCATGAATAACACGAGCCTCAGACACTGAGGCGTTAATCCTTCCCTCTCTTATGTTTTTTTTATCTGCTCTATTCCAGGCGAGGCGAGGCCAACCTGACTGATCATCCAGGGTGTCACAGGTAAGGTAGCTGCTCACAGGCAAAGCAACACAACACACGGTGTGTTTTTCATCTGGGCAAACAAGAAAAACCATAAAAAAATAATAAAAATTCYTCTGTGACCTTTTCAAAGAAGTTTAAATTGGCTCGTGTAGCTCAGTGTGACTCCTCGCTGCACGAGCCACCAGACAGGGAACGTCTTCAAAACAAGCACACTGTTTGGACTCAAATCAGGACTGGCTCATGGTATAGATCAGAGGTTACCAACCTGGGGAGTGGCATATCCTGGACTGATCAAAGAAGTCCATTTGAATAATTAAAATTCTGTATAATGCAGTTCTTGTTTTCCAATCAAAAGTTTGCAACTTCACTTTACGYTTGTATTGATAAAGAGATAAAGGTTGAACCTGGTGGTGGGGAGTAGTGAGGGGTGGGGGCAGGCTCAGCTTGGAAGTAAGAAAGTGGGGCTTTGAGGAAAACAGGTTGGGAACAAGGAGCTGGAGTCGTGACCGTGCGATCGGCTGGTGAAGCTAACGGCTAATGCAAAACTGTCAAGAGTCTGGATTTCCCATTACTGTACATGTTGGTGACAGAGC